AAAAGTGCTTCTGTAACCGCTGCTCCTCTTTTGTAGAGCAGCGCTTGCAGAAGTTTTCGTTGATGTATTAGATCAAAAGTGCTGTTGGAACATCTTGCTTGTTCGGTTCTGTTTCTCTTTCTGGTAGTCTAGTTGAGCATCTCCATGCCCATGTGTTTATTGACTTACTTTCATCGGGTATTTTGTTCTCATTCACTAGTTGGTAATTTCAGCGTCGTGCACAACTTTTGGACCATTATTGGTTGGAGCTTTTAATGGCCATTATCGGAGAGCAATTTGAGGATCTTGGGGAGTACATCTGCGGAGCTGTGGTTAATGTAAGGCAAAAAGGAGATAAGGTAACATGACTTCTTTTTTAGCCATTTTGAGTACTTTCGATTTAGTCTGAATTTCTTCTTCAAATTATTAACTACTAACGGCTTATACATGAGTTCGTGTTTAAAGCATAATATCACTATCGATTTTTTAAGGGAAGCTGCAACTCCAGTTCTTCCATCAAGCTGATAACTTTGACAAAATTAGCAATATTGTCATGTCGCTTCAAGCTATATACATTTTTTACCCAGGTTTCCTTGTGGACTCGTGATGCTACCCGCGATGATGTGAACACCCGCATTGGACTTGTGCTTAAAGCAAAGTTGGATATTCCCGACTCGGAACCGCTAAGGTACGGTCTAATTTTTTAGATAGGAGGCTTTGATAGCATCATTGCAGGTATGAGGTGCACAAAGATTCCTCCGTTCGCACTTCATCGATGGTGAAGCCACGAATCATGATTCCGAATAAGGAAGCTGCTGCAACAGCAGCTCGCTAAGCGAATATTTGCAACTGCTGTGAGAGGTGTTTCCTTATAGGCTCCACTTCCTATGCAGTCCTTAAGTAAATTATGTTTTTTTTTTCCTTTTCATCTAACAGTTTTCTTGTACCTGTGTAAGAATGCCGGTCAAATTCGGCAGTGTCTTAATTGGGTGGTTCTCAAAACCCAGAAGCACGAGATTGGCCGATTGATATATTTATGTAGTTTTCAAGCGATACTTTTGTGCACTTTTCGGCGTTCGTTGCTGTCTCTCTATTGGTTGACATCCTCTATCCTTCTCTTTTTCCCTATAATATGTGGTTTTGGAATACGATGTCTCAAAGTAGAGAAGAACGTAAGGAAGCCACTTTTTTCCCAGGGTTTGGTTGTTTTCTTTTATACAGTTTGCATACGTGTCTGTGCGATGTTGGAGTTTTCCATCATGCTTACCGGGTATGATGGCAAATTCCCTTTGATATTCACTTGGATGGCAGCACATAATGCCATAATAGCTATCGATGCGGGATAGACCCGGTTTTCTTTCATTCATCTCAGACGCAGTGAATTTGTTACTGGTTAAGCTTTTCTTAATAAATATGTCTTTTGCTGTTCTGTGTTTTCAATATATGCGTTGCACTACTTTTGGATGACGTCGTTTCTATGAAGCAGCTCATAGCACAAAGTTTCTTAGCAGTTTAAGTCTTTTGTATGATA